TCGGCGCAGTCTGTTTCGTCATCTGGAGTCGTCCGGGCAATCTCGTCGTCGATCGGGTCAAAAATGTGTCGCGGTCTGAATCCTATCAAAATTTCGGTATGAGTTCAATCAAACAGAACGGTGCAGAGGATGGCGGCGCCAAATCAACGAGTACAGCCAATCCTAAGACTGACAGTCTTATAGAAATGCTCTCTGAGTTCCTTCAGAGTAGCCTTACCTGCTAAGAAATAGCGGTCAAAACTACCATATGGAACGTCAAGTCGAGCGAAGAAAAGTTCAAAATTGCTAACGGGGAGGGCTTCTTCGTTAGTTTTCTAGGAGTAGTCAAGGTCCTAAGGCTAGATCCTAGGCTACTAAATAGGGGAAAACTGCACCTCGATCGAAAACAAGGTCAATACTAATGTACCTATCACACACAAGACCTAATATTTACAATCTCAGTCAGTGTAGCAAGTCAACACATGCAAAATCCAAATAAGGATTAAAATATACACAGATGTTATTTTTAAGATACTTGAAGATAACTCCTAGATATTATTTGCTCTTCAAAAATATGAAAATCATAAGATTAAAATATACACAGATGCATGTTGGGCAGATGAGGTAGCATAAAGGAAATCGACCAATAGGTAATATTCATATATATGTGGCAATCTTGTTAGTTGGAGAAGCGCAAAACAAACTATTGTCTTTTAAAGTAGTGCAAAATTTGAATATTTTGCTCTTGCACAAGGAATATGTGAAGGAATTTGACTTCAAAGTTTATTAAGAGATCTTAATGTTAAGAAAAAAGACAGCTAAGATATTCAGTGACAGTCAAACAACGACTAATATAACCAAAAATCTTGTGCATGATGATAGAAAAAAACACATCGAGATTGATTGACACTTCATCTCAGAAAAGGTTAATAACGGAGTTGTTTCCAACAAGAATTTAGATTGTTGACATTCTCATCAAAGTAATACCGAGAATCGGTCATAATAAATTGAATTTCCAGCAAAGTTTGTATAGTATATGTAACCCAACTTAAAAGGGAGTGTAGGAAATTGCTTACTCGTACTCTTGTTCACAAAGAAATTTATTTCCTTCACTCATGATATATTTCAATATTCGTTATTCCTTTATTAGATATTTTATATTTTTCCTATATTAGTGGGATTCCTAGTTTAAATGAATTCCAGTTTCCTATTTTGTGGACTGGTATGTGAGACACTCTTATATATGTGAAATATGGTATAATTCATGAATAGGTGAAAAAAAAAATGAAATCTCCAACAAGTCATCGCAACGAACTCCCATCTCGTCTACCTCCCCCTCCCTATTTCCCACGAATGTTCGATAGGCATAATCTCCTTATACTCAAAATCCTCAGAACGCACAAAAAATTTAACTCAGAATTGAATAAAAAATGGTTTGAACCGTCCTTCTATTATAGACAGAGAAAAATGCCTAGTACGACCCACTTGAAATAAATAAAACATACAAAGACGAATCCAACCCCCCAAATAAATCCACAAATTTGAAATGACACTAGCATAGGTATCTAAAATAAAATCTAATTTAAAATTACAAATTAGTTTTCCAATTTGCACCTAAATCGCCACTAGATGCACAAAACCTATTTAAAAGCTGACAAAATAGATTTTTTTAAGGACTTTTTTTTTTAGGACTCCAAATTGAAGCTTTGTACGTATTAGAAAGTCCAAATAGATAAGGACTTGCATGTGCTTCGCAAGACTTCAACTTAAACATATAACTTCAAAAGACGTGCAAATCAACTTGAAAAACATGCAAATTTTCAAAAGCATTTTCACGTCCCCGAAATCTAATTACTGGCATGTGCTTCGACTAAAAATAAATATTCACCAAGAAACAACACCATAATAGCAAAATGGTTGAAAAAAAGCATGTCCGTTAAATTAATGTTTATTATTTAAAAAATTAAGTTCTGGGATATTAACTAATTTCAGGTAAAGAGGCAATAAGCATGTTGAAGGCCAAAAACTTTAAAAATGCTTATAAATTAATTCAGATTTGACCTGCAAAATTTAAACCAGAATTTCTGCAGGAAATAGCCGTCATCATCATATGAGAACCATCAAGAGAATGAACAAAATTTGGAGGAAAAGCTGTCTTTTGCTGCTTAGCTGCAACCTGAAGAAAACAAAAGTAAGGTTAAGATACGAAAATAATGAAAAAAATTTCAAAATAAAAACTGGACAATTTATGTAAGACCCCGTTTTAATGAAAGACTACATTTGTCCAAATTAGTCCCTCGCACCTCAAATATGATCCAAAATAGTCCCTTGATTCATCAAATCTGATAAAAAATAATCCAATAAATAGACTTTTTTGGATCATATTTGACAGATCAAGAGATTAAATTTAACACATTTATAGTCTTGGGGCAAAATGATCTCATATAAATAGTCCAGGGACCATTTTATCATTTTCTCAGTAAATAATAAGCAAGAGTTGTGTAACATAGATCATTTTACACACCAAACAACCATCCCTCTTTAAAGCCAAAACTTGTAGCGAGGTTCTTATCTGCAATCATCAAGGGAAAAAATGATGGGTTAGCAAGAAGGTTGGAGAAGTGCGTATCAAATAAGACTAGTTGAAACGGACATACCTGAAAGAAGAGAGAAAATACAAAATAAAATTAAGAACATGTTTTCAAGCCTCTGATAGAAATAATGCTGATATAAATATTTATGATCATCAATAGCGCACAGATTCCCCTATAGCTAAGGTAAGGCTTCGAGTTGGATGAACCATAATTAGATAACAAAAAGGAAAATTTACATACATACCACTCAATTCCAATGTATTTACATATCTAAAACCTAAACTTCAATTTTTACCTACATGCAAACTTTCTGTGCATGAAAAGGTGTATTTCACTTCATAAAAATCAAAATGATGGTATTTTTCATGTTAGATGAAAGATTTGGGGGCTATAAATGTAAAAAGAAAGCTTTAGGTGTTAGATATTTACATACATAAGAATTGGGTGGTATGTATGTAAATGTACCCAAAAAGGCTAACATATGTATGCAGCATGCAAGAAGGCAACAGGGTTTGCAAGATGTTCCTTGCTTTCTTTCCTAATTGAAGTCCGTGTAAATGAGAAATAAAGCATACATTTTAGATTGAGAAAAAAACTGTACCCGTCTTTCACATTTAGATAATATGAATATGAGAATTTGGCATCATAACCAATAAAAAATTGTTATTTTTTTCTTTTAAAAAAAATTGTAACATTCACAATCAGAACATGAAAATAATCATATTGAAAAGTGAGGCAGTATGTGCCAAAGTCAAGGGAAGATGAGGGTACAAATGAAAATAAAAGAAAACCAAAATGCAACGCAATCTAAAATGAAAGGTTTAAGGTTTTGTTTATGAAAAATGAGAATACATAAATGCAAACACAAAGCAGGATATCCATCACAAACTCCTATTCACTACATGTGATTCGTATAAACGAAAAATAGAAAGGTTTTATGTAAGCTTCTAATTGATAAAAGATTAACCATAATAAATTTTGATATAAAGATTTACCACAAGATGTGAGAGCGTATAAGCAAAGTGTGTAATAATTAAAAATAATAATAATAAAAAAATAAATAAATAAGTAAGATTTCAAACCCAGCAGTTCCATTAATAGGAGATGGTGGAGAAAACCGTTTCATCCAGAGCAAAAGAGAAACAAAATTCATCTCATTGGAAACATAGAAAGCAAGATATGTAGAGAGGTGAAGCCATCAAAAGGGATGACATGGGGTGTGTTCGCATGCAGGTGATAAATTCACTGTGTTGATCGAATATTGCATGCTTCTGTAGAAAATATCAAACCACGAATCTTAAAATCCTCACAAATGAGGCTAAAATCATTGGGTAGTGTCTTAACTCATTTTTCTTCTGAAAACCTGATTCGGAATAACACAAAACTAACAAAAAAAGTCTGGAGCTCGAATTTTTAGAGCCCATAAATTAGTTCCGAGGGCTCTGAAAAATCGCGTAAAAATAGAGAAAAAAAAGTTAAAAACTTGCAAGTTAAAATATATAATCTTTGGGGCTCAAATCTCGAGTAGTTTGACTAGTTCCACTTTTAGAGCAAGGCAAAGGACGAAACACAATGATGCAGGAAGCCGAAGTTTCCTGTAGTGCCTCAATCGCGGCTCTCACAATTGCGGGGATAAGGGTCGAATAAGTAGTTCTTTTCCTTTTTTATTCCAGTTTCAGAATGCGTCTTTCTTTGGTTATTCCTTCTTTGGTTCTTTCCTAATTTTCCTAATTTCTAATTAGGTTCATTTCAATTAAAAGACTTTTATAAGTTGCATTGTGGCTATAAGTTGCATTGTGGATGTTCGTTAAACTTATGAAATTACAAAGACTTTTCTCAGATTTCTATTCCCCATAGTGTTGTAAACTTTTCCTTTTGCAAGTAATATGTCTGCTCTGCAGCTTGCCCAAGAACAGGAGGTATATCTCCTTGTTGACCTCATTTTTGGTGAAGTCTCTTACACTTATTAGAGTTTAGGATCTAGCATTATGGTTTCCTACCGACTCTCTTAGAGGACTAGCCTGGGGCCCGCACCAACTTGAAATTTGAGTCACTTCTTAACTCCTCGTAGTTTCATGTGACCAATTCTAAATCCTCAACACATAGTTGAGTCGATTAAAACCAGCGCGACGAAGCTCGAGTCGAGTACCCATATGATCTAAAGCCTTAGAAAGTCCATCGCGTCATCCGTGCACACTCATGATGCACGAATATCGCAATTCATGCGTTCGATGCACATAATTATCGAATTCACACCATTTGCACCTGTAGAAGGCTTTGCAATTGATCAGAAGGCTTTGCAATTGTTTGCAATTGATCAAACTCGAATCAATTGTTGGACCGATCGATCACGAGCGATAATTTTAAAGAAATTTGAATTTGACGTGTTTCCAACCCGACCATCAACGAGGTCGTCCGAGCGACCCCAGATGACGAAGCGGACCGCGCCGACACATCTGAAACGTCGACTTTAGCTAGTAGGGACTCTCACTTTGATATGATTTTGTGCACGAGCGAGAGGTGCGCAAATCGAGGAAAATTAAATATTATATATATTTTTTAGGGGATATATTTATGTTATATAGCCGGTGGGTGGTCTTTTATTTCCGCCTAAATCCCTAGCTCGTGGCTCCCCTCGGTTTCGTCCCTGGATTTAGCCCTAGCCGCGCCTTTCCTCTTGTTGGTCTTGTCTCTTCGCGTAACAAGTTGACCTCGTCTCTCTAGTCGTCCTTTGCCCGAGCTGCGGCTTCCTGAAGTATCTTTTGCTTCGTCACGCTGAGCGGGAAACCATTCGCGGTAGGTTGACTCTGTGTGTTTGTTCCCTGAGTCATGAATGTGGCAATCTCCCTCCTTCCCGATAGTTCATCACACTGTAGCCCTGGCTGTGGTGCTTTCTTCTTCCTGCTGGGAGTGGCTTCGCCTGGGTAAGTCCTGCGAGCTTTTCTTTCCTTCCTCCGCGCCCATAAAAGCCCATGGAAGGGGATTGTTGTGGGGTTACAAACTGAAATTTTGGGGGAGACCACCGGAATCGCCTCTCATCCTTGCGAGCATGGTGTTTGGGAAGCCTTCTGATTCTCTTCTTTTGTTTGCAAAGGCTCAAGCGAGGAACCTGTTTACCCCTTCCCCTGCTTTCTTTCTCTATTCGACAAGGGTTGTGCTTATGGTATGCATGTGTGGGGTGGTGTATTTTGTCTTGGGTGGTATTTAATTCTGGAATCATGGCTAACTGTTGGATTTGAGCTGACTTTAGTATAAATGCATATTGTCGGGTTTGTTTTAAATGCTTCATGCTGATTAGCTAAGAAGGGGGGCTTATAAGAAAGGCATGGTTTAATTCTTACGCATGTGCTAGCTTCTTCCTTATATTCTTACCATATCTATGCTGGTATATTGAAGTTTGAGGGTTGTTTTAGCCTTCTGGACTGCGGTTTTCCTTGCTTCCTTGGTTTAACATTAAGGATTTCGAGGTTGTTTAAGCCCATTGGGCTGCGGTTTTTCTGGCTGTATTAGTTTAACACTGAGGCTTTTGGAATATTTATTTTGAGGGCTTTTTTTTGTGCTTCTTTGTTTCCCCCCTCTGTTCAAAACATATGTATAAGGGAAGGATACAATCACCACCTCGGAGAAGGATACAGTCGGAGCACCACCATTTCCACGAATACAGCCCACAAAGGGGGAAATTTACTCCGCATAGGAGAACTATCGTTATCCTCCTCTATTCTTCGAGCAGAATCGCAATTCGTCCCACTCTCCCTGTTCCCCGACACATTTTGGGGCCTCTGGTCCCCGCGGGAGTTCCTCTGAAGGATTGTGAGGAAGCCCCACAGGAATGGAGCACTTGCATCGGACACTAAACGACACCTACGTAAGGGCGCTAAACAATGCCCACGTCATGGGAGTTGCAATTTGAGAAAGGATAGGACTCAAGTATGGCTTTGGTTGGAATCATGAGAAAGAGTGGAGTTATAGAGGTTTTCGTACGCTGCGAGCCCGTCGTCGATTTCCTAAATTGTTTTGGTCATGACTGTATCACGAAGGCTGGCGCACTAGGGAAGTTGCGTGAACAAGATGAACAGGAGGGAGTCGAGGTTGAGGCTTTTCTGTGTGCTAACAAAAAAGAAATGAAACAAAGGGAATAGCAAAGGCTTTCGTCGCGACTTATAGGAACGACAACGTGGAAGGGAGGACTACGTCTTTGCGACCATGAAGAGAAAGAAATGGGGATTCCAACTTTGTCGTGGTTTCAATTAGACAAAACAGGAGGGGGGAAAGGACAAGGAGCAAGGTTTTGGGAGTCTGTCACGGCTATTAGTTTGAACTAAGAAAAATTCTCGCGTGAATTGTTTTGGCGTGAGCCGGAGGGAGGAGGTGACTTAATTTTAATTAATTTTGATTAATAATGTTAATTATTTTTAATAATCTCTTATGTCAACATTCCCCAACCTCCTCAGAGAATTTTTAGAGTTATTATTTAAACAACACTTCATTATTCTAGCAAATGTTGTAGATATAAGAAAACTTTTCGATGATTCTTTGAATAACATTGAACTAGACAGCAAAGAGCCTAACCAACTCAATGAAGATCCCAATAAAGCTCAAAGGAAGTAAATAGAATTTGAAAATGATTGACATATTGTTAGAAGTTTAAAAACTCTGGCATGGATTGAGAGAAAATTTTAAACCATGACAAAATTAGGTGGCATAAAACAATGTGCCAAATAAATATTTTTTTATGGAAAACTGAGTGGTATTATACCTTATCCTAAAAATGCTCAAAAGAAATTGCCATTCATCATGTGGTCAAAAAGGTCTCAACTTGACTAATGGGTCAAGCTGAGGAAATAAATCTTACTATGACTAATGGGTTGAGTTCACGGTATTGAGGATGATATCTTTTGCTATGGTCCTTGTCACATGTTTAAGAGGTCTCAACTTGCCCGGTGCTAAAGGATCTCCGGATTTATGTTATTATTTTCTAGATAATGCATGGTTTGTCAAAACTAGTAAGAAGGTGTGTTGCCAGTATCAAAAATAAGAAAAATAAACCTTTCTTTTTGTCTAATATGAGGCTCCCCCTTTACATGTAAGGATCATCTTGAACCAACATATGACAAGAAGTATAGCCTTCAACGATAATTCAGAGAAGTTTGGGAAAATTCTTTAATTACATCTAGGCGGTCATCTGTCATTGGGTTATTCTAAGCATTTTGAGGTTTGTGCGATCACGCCTCAAGCCTAAAAAATGTGTTATCCTAATTCTTTTAGAAGGTATCAAATTCATATGTAACCATTTATCAAACCACCTAAAAATTGTGTTATCCTAATAAGTACAAAAGCTTCCATCAGCCAATAGATCAGAGAGGAAAAAAAATTCCTGTGAAATGTATTAAAAAATTAAAAAGTATAAAGTAGTTGCACATAAAATTTTTTGACATGTTTGTTTCCCTCAATGATTTCAATGACATAATAAAATTAATCTGACTTACAAGATGTCTTTCAAAATTTCTGTACGGCTGAATAACTGGCAATCCAAGCGGAGTAGTCCACCTTACAGGTTGATTCTCTGAAGCAATAATCTGTTTAGGAACAATAACATCAGGACGTTAGTGTGAGAGAATAAATTAACATTAGAGATCAAACAGAGCTTTCACTGTAGATCACTGAAGCGCATAGTTTAATCAAACATAAAATGATAAGATCTATGAAGATTTACATACATACCTGATACCGGAATCAACCCAAACCACAATAAAAACAGAAATATTATTGATGAAACTTAAATAGGTTACAACGGCGTCTCTTCAAAATAGAAAATAAACGATAACAAACATAAAAGACATCCTAGGTAACGGTGAAGGGGATGGGTGGCGGCTGGCCAAGAGGAAGATGTGCTGGTAGGGGGCTGACGGTTGGCCCGGTTGTGCAGGAAGGGTTGGAGAGGCTGCGCTGAGGGGGGGGCTACGGAAATAGAGAAGGGAATATGTGGCTGCGATTGGACAGCGGCACAGAGGAAGGGCTTGTGCAGAGTGGATGGAGCAACAAGCTGCATGGAGAAGGGATAGTAGAGGAGTTAAAACAGTAAGAGAAGGCTGGTAGTGGGGCTGGCAAAGAAAGTGGAGAGGAGGTCTTGGGGAGGGTGGTTGGAAGCAGGGAGGAAGAAGTGCGGCTGGTGGCTGTCAGCAGGGAAGAGGTGGAATGTGGAGGGGAGTTGGGAAGGATAACTATACCCGTGGGAGAGAGAGTTACAGCAGGAGCATCTCTCAAGCTCTTGAAAATCACCACCTCGGACATGTTACAGTTGGAGCACCTTCTCGTCTTCAGATACAGCCCTAAATGGGAAAACATCCATCGACGACAAGTTTGACGGAATTCTCCGGCTGTAACATGTCTGGTGGCTGGGAGGAGTACAGGTATTACAGCAAGAAGTTACGGAAATAGAGAAGGGAATATGCGGCTGCGATTGGACAGCGGCACAGAGGAAGGGCTTGTGGAGAGTGGGTCGAGCAACAAACAGCATGGAGAAGGGATGGTAGAGGAGTTAAGGCAGTATGGGAAGGCTGGTAGTGGGGCTGGCAAAGAAAGTGGAGAGGATGTCTTGGGGAGGGTGGCTGGAAGCAGGGAGGAGGAAGTGCGGCTGGCAGCTGGCAGCAAGGAAGAGGTGGAATGCAGAGGGGAGTTGGGAAGGATAACTATCCCCGTGGGAGAGAGAGTTACAACAAAAGCGCCCCTCAAGTTCTTGAAGAAGATCACCACCACGAACATGTTACAATCGGAGCACCTTCTCGTCTTCAGATACAGCTCTAGATGGGAAAACAGCCGTCGACGACAAGTTTGACAGAATTCTCAAAACACCAAAAACTGAACCCTAAAACCAAATAGCAACAAATTTATAATAAACTAAGTGATGCCAAAATTAACCCAAATCATAATAGAAAATATATTTTATTACGCCAAAAGCAACGAGGTTAGAATCTGAACCCAAAACAGAAAAGAAAATACAACACAACACGATCTCCGGCACGACTCTCCGGCAGGGCGAGGCGGGGCAGCCAGCCTGCAGACAGTGCAGAGAGGGGCTGGGATAGGTGGCGGCAGGGTAGCAGAGGTTCAGTTGTCTTGCAGTTACAGCAAAAGACGGGGATTAGGTGTTTGGTGGCAGTGCAAGGGGGCCAGATAGCAACTCGTAGCAGGCTGGCTGCAGGAAACGGGAGGGAGTGGGGCTGGCTGCAGGAAACAAGAAGGGTAGTTGGGATTGGATCCGCAACCAAGAAGCAGGTCATGGCCATCTATGGCTGGAAACAGGAGAAAGGAGGGGAAAGCTGCTGTTACTGGAAAGAGGAAAGGATGTCGTAGGTTTGTTGGACAACTGGAGGGTGATTGAAGGGAAAAAAGGGAGGAGGGTGCATCGCAGATGGCAGCAAGGAGAATAGAGAAAGATACACACCACCTCAGGCGAGTTACAACCGAAACACCTTCACGTCGTCAGATACAGCCCTCGAAGGAAAAGGGGGATTCTGGAGGCTGTCCAAACAAAAATCTCAACCAAAAACTAGGACCTTATGTGGCTAACACCTAAACAGAAATCCCAACCCGGTTCAGCCCCATGCAGCCGCTCTCAATAACACTCAATTCCTATGTATTTATATGGCTAACACCTAAACTTCAATTTTTACATGCATGTCACGTTACTTCTGTATGACAAGATGCATTTCACTTTTTAAAAGTTAAAATGATTTTGTTTTTGATGTGGTACGAAAGATTTAAGTGGAATAAAGGCAAAAATAGAGTTTAGGTGTTAGATATGTTAATACACAGGACTTGGGCTGTATTTATAAAATGCGCCTAAGATAAAATGTCAGTTAGACGAGAAGGTAGTGAAAGAGCTTCTAATTTTGAGCAAGTAAAACAATTAAATCTGCATGGTGATAAACAAGTTTATGCAGCAAATGAACAACAAAAAATGTAAACACAAGGATATTCAAGAGGTATAGCAACAGCTGAGCCTATACTAACACAAAGAAAATTCGTTCCAAGTATTTCCCAAAAGCTATACAAACTTTTAGTAGAGAACTTTTTGTGAATTGCCCTAGTTTGAAAACCGCACAATTCTTTTTTACCCCTAATCACAGAAGATACAAGGAGAAATGTAAAACTACTATTAAAATAATGAATATAAAGAAAGAAATTTCCTTTATTTGTTCCCCATAAATCTCCCTATCATGTGACCAAACCAAAAAAAAAGAGAGAAGAAAAAGAATTAACTTATTTTTGAAAAGTTGTTCCAGCATAGGATCCAACAGTGTTAGAGAAGAAGATGGGTTTTTCGTCCACTGGAGAAATAACAACAATAAAGCTCTATTAAACTTATAATTGTTATATAATGTTCAAAGGTTTCACGAAATAAATTCAGTAAAGGCACTAGAAAGTAGCCCTTTAAAGAGAAAAATTTTGAAACGGTCAAAAACAAGCCACTACAAGTTAGCTGGCATATTTCACTGTGTTTACCTATTGGTTTAGCTTCAGATGAATTTTGCAAACAACTAAACTTAAATGCAAATCTAGAAGAGTATGGTTAAAAACTCCGTCATTTTAGTGCTGATTAAATCTATCTACCTTCCAAAGAATCAAGAATTACTAAGTTTAAATTTGTGCACCAAAAGGATGGAGTGTCACAAAAGCTAAACAAAGTTTTAAGATTTCTTATTTGGATTTGGATGAGCACAGAAACTAAACAAAGGCCAACAATTATATGGAGCCTTATGAAGTCTAGCTTCCACTAAAAACGACAACAACAATAAGCCTTTTGTCCCACTAAGTGGGGTCAGCTGCATGAATCAATTTTCTCCATTGTTTCCTACCGAGTCTCATAGTTTCCACTAAATGAACCTCTTTTTTAAAAGATTCAAGGCCATCGAAAGATAATACAGGATTAGAAAATACTGTCATATTACCGAATAGAAAAGGATTGTTAAACAGGCAAAAAATATGAATACACTAGCAAGACCAAAAGTTTGCTTAAAATACATTCTCAGCAAGATGAAACAAGTAATGAAACTGAAGTAAACAACTAGTTAAGAAAGTTGATATAAAGTTTTCTTAGTTACACTTGATCTCCAAACTAAATGCATCAATCTCTTTGACTGTCAATTGTAAATTCTTCATAGAAACAATATCTTCAAGATTTTTCTTATATCAAGATGCAAATTGATACCTGAGTTAAGCCGAATGATAATTGAAAAATAAATATTATTGTTGAATGCAAAAGATTTACAAGCAAGGATGCTTAAAAACAAAAATAAAACGGCACAAAACACAAGCGACACCCTAGGACAAGAATGAAAGTGGTGGGCTGCAGGTTGAGGTGGCGAAATCGGGGAGTCGTAGGTGAGGGGAGAGGGCTGGCGACAGCAAGATGGGCGTACATGTGCAACTGGACAGCAGGTAATGTTGTGGGGGAGGGACGAAAACTGGTCTAGGGAAAAGGGGACGGTGGTACAGCTGCTATGGTATGCAAGCTATGCGTCAGCAGTAGGGAGGCACCCAGGAATGCTGGCAGCAAGCAGTTGGGTGCCAGAAGGATGGCACAAGCATGTGGGTAGAAGAAGCGAGGAAGCATGTGGAGATAGTCACCACCTATGAGCAGGACACAACAGAAGCACCACCATTCCTCGATTACAGCTCTTGAAGGGTGAACTTGAGACACCAAAACCTGTCCCTATAAAAAACTCAACAAAAACAAAACCCAAACACGAGATTAAATATAAATACTAGTAGATAACTAAGGGGGACCTCATTCGTAGAAGCTTTTGGTTGCACGTGATAGTGACTAAATTGTTGTAATCTCAGAGCTGAAGGATTTTCAACTGCGGCCCTAATAGTGATCACACGGACGCTACACCTTCCCCCAAAGCACCTAAGGATTTTTTCTCACTTGTGAGCAAACGAGCATCTCGATCAAATCTTCTGAGGCTACTCATCACGCATATACTGTTGAATCCTTCCAAAAAAACCCAAGGTTTCCTCACCTGGATTTTTTCTCACTTGTGAGCAAACGAGCATCTCGGTCAAATCTTCTGAGGCTACTCGTCACGCATATACTGTTGAATCCTTCCAAAGCAACCCAAGGTTTCCTCACCTTGCTCTGATGTGATGGTAGTTCGAATCACTCCAAATGGTGGAGGTCATGACAGTAAGGTATCAATCATGATGTACTGAAATGCTCTTTGTTATGACTGTTCCGTGTCTGGGATCAACACCTTATTCTTATCATCCTCAATCATTACGAAAATCAATCTCCCCGACGTTGCTCTGATGGCAAGGGCATATGTGATCTCAAGCTCCGTCAAACAAAGAAGGACAATGCGCTTTCTCTCCTTAGTGAAGTAGGTCTTTCTAAATCCATTGTGTTAAGTCCTGCAGTCAAATTGTCATGGTCTTCCCAAAAACAGGTGCTAGGCATCCATGGAACCACGTCACACCACACCTGATTTTATAGTTAGCTTCTAATTGATAACTCTACTAGACATATCCTGTTAATGTAGACCATGTTCCCTTATTCAGCCATGTCAAAGAATTTGACTAGGAATCGTGCTAAATTAAAAGCTCTAATTTCTTCATTATATGCGTAAACAACACCTTCTTGCAGTTTCCTTCATTGATGATGAGACTGCATACCTTCTAGTTCACAGTGCAATGGGTGTAAAATATGTTGTCGCGAAGCTAATGTGGATCCCTCGTATCCTCAATCTGTAGGACCAGTCGAACCACGAGCATCTCGCCTTCAGCCAATGAAAGATAATACACCTCACCCTATTACTTACCTGCCTCCTCGTCGCTAACCGCTTCCAAGGCGCCTTGCACGGTAAACGACACGACTCGGCTCATCAGGCACTAGAAGCAAGTGCCAAAATTCATGGCATCTCGTCGCTAGCCGCTTCCAAGACGCCATGCTCGGTAAAAGACATGACTCGGCTCATCAGGCAAATAGAGGCAAGTGCCAAAATTCATGGCATCTAAAGCATTTTCGAGCGTGAATTGCAGTAGGTGTGCTATTTTTCTCAGACTTCTTCCCACTCGGGGTGGCTTTGTCCTTATCTGAACTAGTTTTCTCAACTCCCCGAGGCGTGCTCATTCTAGTGTCTCCAAATGCGGGTGGCTGTCGAACTGGTGGTGGTTGTCTACTCTATTTCTATTGTCTCTCCACCTTCAAGGTAAAGGTCTTAACATCTTCCATGACTAATAAAGTTGCAGTTGCACAACGTTGCATATAGCGGGCTTTAGGCCCCCCAGATAACAGGTTATTGTGTGCTCTTCTAACTCGACCAACTCACACTTCATCTGCAACTAGTCAAACTACGCCGTGAACTCCTCCAGTGATAGGTCTCTCTGCTACATGTGATGGAGTCTCAGAAACATATCCCGGCGGTAGTAAGGTGGTAATTATTTCCTTTGTATCTCTTTCCTCATTTTTTTTCACTTGGTAATCATATCATTGTTTTCTCTTTCCTGTCTTCCCTTCCCACTGTAAGAAGTTGCTCTTCTTCAACTTGATGGCTCTTAAGTTTACCATTTATCCTCTCACACTTCCTTATACTTGAAGATTCACTCAACAGATTGCAACCAATCGATAAAAACACTAGGATCCATACCTTCATTGAACTTCAGTAGACCACTTGGATGCCAAAATCCTTGTCCTCCATATGCGGTCTCCTGTCTCAATCTCCTTTGATACTGAATTTCAAGGCGTCGGAACCTATATTCCTCATCACTGACGTCTTTCATGTGGAACAGATTCAAATCATTATCCCTTTCTTCCCTTCGACTCTCCAGATCACGGTCAAGGGAGTAATCTCCTCCTGAATTTCATCGTCAATCTCCGCAAGACACTGTTGAAGTCAACCGATCTCCCGATATTTCTCATCTCGGGTAAGTTTCGACATATAACTCCTCAGTGGCATGATTATAATTTGGGGAGTGAAAGGAGCAAATAGGGATAAGAAAGAAAATTTTTGGTGGAGGGGATAAGATGAATGCTAGGAAACCCTAAGATAAGGGTAGGATTAGGCTAGCTATAATATCAAATGATATCAGAGCAAGCTCGAACAATGATAAAAAACAAATATTATTATTAAAAGGGTTACAAGAAAAGACTCTTAAAAACAGAAATAAAACGACACAACATACAAGTGAGACACCCTAGGACGATGATTAAAGTGGTGGACTGAGGGTTGAAGTGATAGAATTGAGGAGTCGAAGGTGAGGGGAGAGGGCTAGCAATAGCAAAATGGGTGTAGTTATGTGGCTGAACAGTAGGTAGGGCTGTGGGAGAGGGACGATAGTAAATCTAAGGGAAACGAGGAGGGTGGCAGCAGCTTCTACGGTGTGCAGTTTGGGTGTCAACAAGCACGGAAGGGAGCTAGAATGTTGGCAGCGAGCAGCACCACACACACACACACACACAAACTTGGGTGGCAACCCAGCCCAACCTTGAATTCATGCTCAATGAACCGGTAGGCCATTTCATGGGAGAGTCGAGCCCCATATCACAAATGCATCATAAGAAAATATGAAAATAGTTCTATAAAAATAATCTATCATGCATTTAACAAAATTCACGAGCTTATGTGTTTCTTGTCGGTCATTTTGTATGAACTCTGCACTAATACATAAAAGTTTAGCATTTTACATTAGAGAAAATTGTCAAAATAGTCCCTTAACTCTTTATAGGGGGTCATTTTAGTCTTAAATTCAATAAAAGTGTCATCCCAAGGCTCTTTTAATATGAGCTGAAATAATCCTTATGGAGAACTATTTCGATATGAATTTAAAGAGTCTGGGGATTAATTTTGAAACTTATAAACTCCAAGAGTAAAACAATCCCATGTAAGAAGTCAGGAGACTATTTTAACACTTTACACTTATACGTTAGAACAAATGACTTCAATTTTGTAAGCTCAAGGGCATAATAACAGTTCAAACCTTTGCACAATCACCGAGCCATTTCATGATGCTTCGTGCAGCTTGGAACATCTCTCCCAAAGCATTCAAAGTGACCTTCCAAGAAATGGTTGCTTGAGCCAATGTTATGTGAAACACGGAATTCATCAATAGTGAATGGCACTTAAGCATTTACCTTAGCTGCATAGCAAGATACACGAAAGAGCAACCTCTCATCAGTGATTTTTCCTTTTTCTATCAATCTCCTTTTTATTTGCTCTCTGGCACCAACATATGTGACACCATAGACTGATGTCATGACAGTCTGCTTCACTAACTTCCTGTCCACCTGAAAGCTAACAAGATCCAATCATAAATAATGGGCTGTATTAGAAGATAAATTCAATCCTCCAAAGGCCATACATTGGGTATAAAGTTGTATAACCATGGACAAGGGAAAAGGCACAAACCTGATCAAGTAAAATTTTAGCTAATAAAGCAGTAGGATCATTAGTCGGGTCTTTCTGAGAGTCTTCCTTTACTATCTCATAAACCCTTAATATTGGACACAAAAAAATTAATTATAATAAGTGCATAAAGAAATTTACTGAAGTTAGAGCATCCACTAGTAAAATTATATCACAAACTTTAAGTTTAGAGTTATTTTGACAATAAATAAAAAGTACACTGCAAATGAGGACTATAGATGAAAAGAGATTCGACAAAAACATAAAATTACACGGTTCTCAGCCATTGGCAAACCAAGTGACTGAGCATTTAAGGAGAATTAAAGAAATATTTGTGAGCTCCGAAGATTCTTAACCAACCTTTCAAAGAGAGTTGCCATTACAAGTTGAATTTCTAGAAAGCAAATTGGATTTAGAAAAGAATCCACCTATAGATAAAAGAAAGCTGGCCATGAAAAGTAAACTATTTATAGAGGATAGCAGAAAGCGAACCATGAACTACTCGTGTTGAAGCTTAGCAAACAAAACCCATTTAATTTCTCATTGCAGGAAATATATAAAGATTTGTAACTTAAAAACAATTGATTCCTAAAGGATACTTTTAGTAAAAATTGATGATGTTGAAAATAAATATATTTTAGGAACCGAGCAATAATAGAGCTAGATCATTACTGAAATCATCAGAAACATTATAAAAATATGTCTACGCAATTTGCTTTAAATAAATAGTAGAAAAATGTCTACTAAAACTCATTAACAGGCAAGTAACACTACCTTGCAGCTATTCCAGAATATACATCTGCAGGCCTCTCTTGAGCAACCAAGTTTACTGCAGTGGCTTCCAACTAATAAGTTGGAAATAATCAAATTACAATAAAAAATTTTTTAAAAAACAAAGATATGCGTAAATCATATAAAAGGATTAAAAATTAAGATAAAATTAGCCTTTAATCCCGGAAAAAATAATTTCAGAGTGAAATTGTTGGAAGCCTGTCGTGCATCAACTTCATTTTGGTAGAGCAATTAGTAATATACCAGTGCATTGGATGGGATGATGAAAATAACTAAGGATTAAATATATAATTCTTCTACTTATGATAAGTGCTCAAAAGCATAATCAAAGAGATTTATGGGTGGTAATGTAAAAGTTCAAGTGGTTCTGAGAGCAAAAACAATAACAAGAAAATTAATAATAATATGTAGGAGACACTAAGAAAAGGATGCAAGCGAGTTTATTTGATTTAACAAGATTTACCTCGGTTCATGACCCACTGAAAGATAAATGTCTGCTAATTCAGAGACAAAAAATGTAACAAATGTTTACTCTCAAATGTTTTCTTCTCATTTTTATCTCGATAATACTCTTCCCTCTCTATTATTCCCCCTTCCAAACCCAACCATGTTCGCTAAAGATAAAGGAAAGCTGGCCACCTCCTATGTCAAACCACCTATCAGTCACCAGTCCATATAACATTCATTGATTTCCAGGACTCTGACTTCTAATTGTTACCTTTAGGCCTTCAACAATCACCATCAAACACATAAGAAACCAATCTATATCACATCGGCTAAGATAACATTCAAACATCTATTTCTGAGACCTCCAACTCTATCAAAGGTTGATTAAAGGTGAAGCATGAATGATAACAGTAACAATCAATTTCTCCTCCATTTATATAGCAACAATCATGTGATAGTTTTGAAGGATTAGGTATAAACAAAGTCATAAGTTTGATAGCTACCAATACTACAAAGTCAAAATCAAATTTTATTCTAGACATTAAGAATAAAGGGGACGAAAAATTAGAAATTAGGCCGTTTGAAGCGCAATCTTAAGTACGGATGGCAATAGTTAGTTTAAACCAAAAAAATCAAACTGAAACAAGCATATTTAATTAGATTGATTTGGTTTATGAAATTATGATTCAATTTTTTGTTTCAGATTTAAACTTGCTTGCAACCAGTGGTTTGATTTTAAAAGATACGGTTAAACCAAAAAAAATGAAATATATTGCAGTTAAATCAAATTCGTCAACCAATAGTATTATTCAATAATCCATCAAAGTCAACCAATTGTATTATTCAATCCATCAACCAATCCATCAAAATTAACCCAATACACACCTCTTCATTAGAAATTTATTTTTTTGGTAAAACAAAACCAAAACAAAGAAATCGAACTACATTGTGGTTCAGTCCAGTTCAGTTCTATAGATTTTTTAGTCAGTTTGAGTCTGCCTATTATTTAATTTGTTTTAATTGTTTTAATAAATCTATCAACAAATCCAACCAAACCGACAGGCCTATGATCTAAATCTCTGCAGTGTCTCAATCAGATACTAACATGGTCGTAACCCTCATTTTTTACTGCTGTCAATACCTTTACCTTCTTCCTTCATCCTAAAATGTCATATGCCCTATACTGCCCATCAAGCCTTCATAATCTCCCACTATGTAGCGAAACAAACAGATGAATGCACCTTCGTCTTTCAAATTGTTGAACCGCCTTTGCATCCTATCAATGCGCTAAAAGAGCAATATCTCCCACACTTCTCACTGTCTCGACATTACTTAAAACAAGTTCAAGGTTAGAGCATCGCACTACTCATAGTCCTCTTTCGCAGGCCCTCCTCACCTCATTCTTCATTGCTGTTTTTGCAGCCACTAGCCCTGTTTCCTTCACAACCGTCAATGATTCTCTTCCTTGTGCTCGAATAGACAACTGCCAAATCCTTCATCGCACCCTCCTTCAACTTACTGCAGGCACGCCCACTTCCAACTTCTGCTCCCCGGACCACAAGCCACCAACCATGATGAGCTCTCTCCAGTAACAGCTTCCGCTCTTCTTCTTCATGGATATTGCTCCCTTGTCATTTTGCTACTATTGTGTATATTCAGAAGCTTTAGTTAGCTCACTATTGTTTTAAACTAAATTTTCTTGTATAATTAAGTTATTTAAAAGATGTGCGATAGAAGAAAAAATATTTATAGAAAACACGGACAACATATAAAGAAATAATTTAATTATACTGTTTTAATTTAATTTGATTAGTGAATTTTTAATTTATTAACAGTTAATTACAAAAAAGAAATATGGAAAATTTAAATCACACCGTCCAACCCTCTGTACCTACCTTAGAACTGCAAAAAATTAGCAAGATATGTTATACGGGGTGGCTGTAGCAGGGAAATATGAAGTTAACAGCAAAAAGAAAGATGCATGGAGTGGAAAAGTCAAAAATAAATACCCCCGCGAGAACAAGCTACAGTTGAAGCACAACTCGATCCCTTATTAGAAGGAGATCACCACCTTGGACGACCAACATCTAAAGCACCACTCGCCTTTGGATACAATCATAGAAGGAAGAAATTGAGACAACGACGACTGTCCTAAATAGAAACACCCTAAAAACCTAAAATAACAGAATCACATATATAAGCCCTATATAACTAGAATTGTATTCTCCTATGAAAAAGAACTGTCAAACCAGTGTGAGAGCACCGGTGGGCCCTACCAGGACTAGATCGATTTGGTTTAGACAAAGGAATCACGAAAAACAGTCTTGTGGTATTGTAGCTAAAGTCACGTCACTATAGCACATTGTAGCAAACGTCGTGTAAATGCCACATAGGTAGTTCTCCTATCAGTCTCTCAAGGTTGGGAAAGCTTCGACCTCATATGTCAAAGCTTTTATCTCCTCATAGAAGTCAAGTCAAACCCGGTAAGGTACCATGAATGTTGCGAGCTTCCAATAAGTCAATCATGTAGGCGTCATTGCAAAGCACGCCATGATAGAATAAGTACCAATCCACTTTTGGCATAACTTAACCTGAAGCTGCATAACAACATAGATTTTCACGAGCCAAATCCTGAACAAGTAAATCTATAATTTGCTTCTCCCACCCCTCAAACTCGGCTAGATGTATTTGATAAGCAAGTCTATCAGAAGAAATCAACTCTAGAAAGAAATCTATGGCAGGTTAGACCACACTGAACTACAACGACTCAGCAGATTACTCTGTTTTCTTCTCTGAAATGACATGAATCTCACTGTAGTATGTTCTTTTCCCAAAAGATAATAAGACGATTTCCAATATTCTAGTTCATTCATCTTGTCTTATCATATGTTGAGCAAAAACTTCTCATCTCTGACATGTTGGAAAACCATTAGTAAGGGCAGCTCAAGAAGTAGACTATATATTTGAAAAATTTGAAATTCTCTTATATGAGGTTGCCCTATCTGGTAACGGATCCTCGATCATAGAACCGTCTTGGACCACCAATGTAAAATTCGTTGCAGTTTCTATTATGGCCTCAACTTGAAGCTTCCATTCCTCATCAGTTGGGACCAGGTTCTTCTCCCTTCTATCCTCATATTCTTCTGTTTTTATTGTGTCATTTGCCCCTTTCTTCAAGAGCTCCATGCTCAGTGAAATATATCCCCTAGTTGTCACAAGTTGGTCTGATAGCTTAGAATTAATCAAGTTAAGAACAACTGTCGAATAGTATTAACATTTCATTTACCTTACATAGATTTTCATAACTTTTAATTTATAAGAGTCACTAAGAAATCATAATATAGAATAACTGTAAATTTAAATCATCTTTAAACAACAATATAGACTACATACAACCTCTCATCCAACATGTAATAGTATATCACTACCAACAATATAGACTACATACAACCTCTCATCCAACATATAATAGTATATCACTACCATGAAAAAAAAAAACAATACAAAAAAAATTAAAATCATGAAACAACATAATACTTATCAGGAGTAATCCTCCCTACTATTCACCCTTGAATGACTCAAACGTGTCTCCATCGAGCAAGGTCGCAATACGTTGTTTGAACACGGCTTCTCCCTTTTCTCTTCTCCTTCTCCTTCGGCTAGGGCATGGGCTTCTTTTTCCTGCCCGAAACTGATTAATTCGTCTCTTCTCTTGCACGCAAACGATGATCCAAGTAAGCCTTTGGCTTTGGCTTCGGCTTCGACAGCTCTTCATAGAGAAACGATGTACATATGCACAAGCCACTCCTTCCTTCGGCTAGGGTTGATTTTCTCCCACTTGGAGATCGAAGCTACTTCATCGTCTTCACCTGGACGACAGTCTCCTGCCTCGGCTTCATTCCACACAAGCAAGTCTTCCGGACGACAGTCTCCTGCCTCGGCTTCATTCCACACAGGCAAGTCTTCCCCTTCCTCTTCTATCACTGCTTTATCTTCTCCTTCTGTCATTGCTTCTTCCTTGCCTCCTTTTGACAATGCTTCTTCTTCTCTTTCCGTCACTACTTCTCCTTTTGTCGATGATTCTTATTTCGCTATCTCTCATGCTCTCTCTTTTTCTCTCTATCTCTCTCGCTGACTCTTATGCTCGGGTTCGAAAGGATGATAGAAATGAGAGCTCTCTCTTTAACTCCCCATAAACAACACATCTATTTTTGAACGCGCTTAATTAATTTTTTTAATTAAAATTGGTTATTACAATATTCCTTCCCTATAATATCTTATCCTCAAAATTTATGAACTTCACATAAGTAATTTCAGATTATATAATTAAAAAATAACTATTCAAATTATCACGGAAGTTTAAATCTTGTTAACTACTATCAAAGGTAAATACACTAATTCAAACATTTAATATTAGATGATCCAACCAATAATCCTCTAGTATTGATACATGATAACTAATATTACATCTAAATTTGTGCATTATAACCACAATAACACTCAACTACCAAAATCAGAATACATAAAGATACTCAACACATGATAACAAACATTATACCCATTAGAAAAAACAACCATCAAACTCTATGTATCGACATTAGTAGCA